TCACGCCACTGCTGAATCAAGGCTTTCCCCCACGCCGTATCAGTCACGAGGAGTGTTCGACCATGTTTCACTACCACACCGGTCAGTACCGGTTTGGTGAAGCAAGGAGTGAAGTCCTGCGTGACGGCAGGGGGCACAGGCCGTCAGATCTCACTCGCGTGAGTTGGAATCGAACTCGGGTCGCCGGCTCGACACGACTAACGCAAGCACCACACTGGACACGTGGATCCCCTTATCCTCACGGCCCTCGTTAGTCCCCGTGAACCTTGGTTCACCTCGTGATCGACATCGCGTCATCTCAGCTCATTAAGCAGTATTTCACGTTTCCTCAAATCGTGGTGCGCGACAGAATTCTCCCCGCACGTGTGTGTACAGTGTACACATCCGACGATAACAGCCTTTTATGTCAGCTTTATCGTATTACAGCGCGCCTCTTCGTCTGGGCATGCAAAGCAGCAGCCACAAGCCGCTGCTTTGCAGAGACGGTGGTCACCGGCTTCGCGCTCTTTCAGATGCGCTGCTGCGGCCGTCTGGAACACTCTGCGGTCCGATATTCGGAAGCCACCGGGACTCTCATCTCGAATGAACCTTCGTTCTCTAGAACTGATTTTTGTGTTTAGTTTGTTGTCCTTCCCCCTATTATCACGGTTCGCTACGTATGGTGCGAAAGAAAGCCAACATCAAGTCCATACATGGAGACGAGGCACTTCTTTATTAACGAGCACCATCGGGATTAACACACTTAATGTTTAGTCCGTCTGTTATCGGCGACTCAGCTACTCAGCCAGGACAGTTGGTGGGCTGTCTGACTGGCGGCGCCCCGAGATGGTCGAGACGGAGACGACGACGAGAATGGTGAAGACGACGAGACGAATGGCGACGATGGACTTCTGCAGCACTACGGGGATCCCACTCCAACAACAGCCCCGAGGTCCCCCACAGGGGGCCCCCCTTATATACTGCCAGCGTGGCCTCGCTCCGCCCCGGCCACGCCCCCTTTCTGGAACCTACCAGCGGGTTCCTGGTGGGCCCCTTCTGTGACCTTTCCCCCAGGGCCCCCCTCTCGCCCAGCCTGCCGACTTGAGGGCTGCCGGACGCCGCAGAGCCCCATCCCTGCCAGCAGCCAGCGCCCCGCCACTGTGGCACAAAGGTTGAGGAATGCTGACGGGAACTTGGGCCTGTGCCAGCACTCGTGTATTGTATGAAGATTTATGGTGGGAGGGAATTCCACAGTGTAGAGCGAGGGAAGAAGTGGAGAGAGAAGTGGTGTGACCTGCAGTGTGGTTGGTGATTGAGTGAGTGATTCAGTAAGCGTTGTTGTTGGTAGCGATAGAAGGGTGACAGGGAAGCGATTCACCACCGGTGCATGCGGGCTGCTGGAAAGATGCTAATCTGGGAGGCTCACATGTTTAAGAATAAACAACGCACTGCAGTATATTTTGTGGTATTCGTACCGTGCTAGATTGCGTGCGATCACTGATTAGGATCGAGCATACGCCAGCTAATTTCGCAAATGTCTCAGAAATAGTGGTGATAACTTCCCAGATAAACGGAGCTATAAATAGACCCGCATCGCGGCACGGCAGCAGCCCCTGATTCGCACAAAGCTGTCCATAAGCTTCGCCACACAGACGGATGCATGCGCGAGCATCATAGCAAGTGGCTGCCCCTGCGATGTTGAGAGTGATCACCATCGCCTCTACAGCACAACAGTGAATCCACATCACCTCGTCCTCCTTCCTCTCCCCTCCACCTCCTCTACTGTAGTCTCACTCGCTGCACCAGCCAGCAGCAACAGCAGCAGCGGTGGCCAGCTCGTCTCCTCTACCATGGCGGGTGGCCCAGACGGCAGGCGCCGCGTGGACGCTGATCCCCGTCTCCACACGCATCCTGCGGGTCACAGGCTTCTTCCCCCCTGGCATGAGATGTCAAGTCTTCAATGGCAACCGTGGCAACCAGCGGCACATTTTGGGAATTCCCTGCACCGTCACTGCTCGACTACTCACGAGCAAACACCCTGTGAAAGACCCACCTCTGCAGATCTCTGGGTTCGACCTTTTACAAAGATCATGGTCCACCCTAAACCGCATTCCGCACAAACCGTGGCGGCAATAGATGCGGATACCTGATGCACAAATGGAAAACACTCCAGTTTGCGACTGTGAGTCATCCAGAACAGACCGTACAACATTTAACAATGCGATGCCCGATCCACAAATACAAAGGAGACATCTCCACAGCGGTACACTCCGTTGCTACTCCTGACGCGTTTATCTGGCTTGACCACCTGAATGTGAAATTGTAGTTGTTGCATCTACATCATATGAAAGAAGAAGATTGCTCAACTCGTCGAGCGCACGTAGTTCTACTGGGTTGGTGAAGGTGGCAGTGCCCAGGGACGAGTGAAGATATCACGACGCGAGCCGCTGGCTGGCCATGGAGCTCAGGTCGCCAAATTCACAGCGTAGAGCACGCCAACTGATGCTCTGCTGCTCCTCCTCCCCGGTTTAGATGTGTTAGAATGAACTGCGCACAACGAGGGAGCGTGTACCGCCCAGTGAGCGGCATCCCGCGCACACACACGCGCCTCCCAGGTAAGCTCACACAGGCCACGACGTTTCAGTAAATGTAATTCTTTATTGAGTATTGCACCACCGTGAATCGGAACCGTTCCCTCGGATATATTGTACAATCATTTTTTCCTGGGTTTAACGCAGGGCTTCATTTCGACCAGGTCTGTTGATGTCGGCTGCCCAGAATAAATATTTTTTCCGTACCTCTCAAGTGACATCCAGTGCACTTCTTATCACGGCAGCGGATGCTATGACGACGTGTCAACTGCCCCAGTCGACCGGCGAAAAAATAGTCGGTGAGAAATCAAGCCCTGGGTTAATGTACCACCACCGACGTGAACCCACGATTGCCCCGAACCCGAACGCTAAAGTGCCCGTCACCTCGAGTGTCCCGTTACAGAATCGCTCTCGTCTTACAAGTGCAGAGTGGCGAGGCTCCGTGCTACAGGGACCCACCAGGTCACTGGCAAATAAACTCCATCCACAGAAGCCTCTGCTCCCGACCCATGTGCGGGGTAGCGTTAGCATTCATATTACGGTGAAAGGCAATGGGAAAATGTTGCTCAGTTGTATAGCATTGAGTTTTTCGGTGGACCGACAGGCCTGGCTAAGGCTAAGGTGGTGGGAGGGGAGGTACCAGCACCTTGATTGAGGACAGAGGGGGAAAGGTGGGATGGGATCCTAAAAGAATGGCGAGAATTTGTTTTTAATGTTCTAATGTGCACTAATGCCTACTTTAATGATGGCGATATTGGCACATGGAATAAAGATTGGTTGATTGAATTTGACAAGTTCGTTTGGGGAGTATATCTGGTGCCTAATGGTGACGAGCCCCAAACGCGCAGAGAGAACTCAGCTTGTGCGAGCGGCCACATCTTCACCGTGGCTTTTTTTCTGCCAATGAAGCAGACGTCACTCTTGTTGCCGTGGGCGGCGTGAACACCGTTCGGTTTAATTCAGAATCTTTTACTTTATCCTGGAGGAGTCCGATGAGCTATGGAGCTCTTTATCACAGATGTCCAGTTGTCAAATTCATCCCATGCCGGACGTCGCTCGAGCGTTCCCCGTCAATAAACCCTCCTCCTCGCCACTTGTCGGGCTTTACGTGTGAAGTTCCCGTCTCCCCCAAGACCATTGATGCCTACTTTGCGATGCAGGGCACTACATTCATAACCGCCCCCGTATGGAGATCGTATTCATAAATAACAGTGCCAACGTGAACAGTCGCCTGCGTAATTGATGGGCATGCCGTACAGGCAAACACCATAAAATATCACCTCGGGCTGTAAACCATGTTGTATTTACAAGTCGGCACGAAATAAAAATGTAACTAATTTGGTTATTAAACGCAAGCTTCTGCTGCGTGGGCGGTGATGTGCAAGCACAGCAAACAAACCCCGACATGTCCATCCATGGCGACACTGTGGCCTTAAAAGGAAAGACGGAGGGCCACTGCCCCAAACTTTGCCCATCATATAACAAAAAAAGTTATTTCAAGGTCAGTGTTATTGACGAATGTGGTGAGCTTTTTCATTCAAATAAACAGATGTTAAATCATCCATAAGAGGTTTTTGGGTTAGATCACATAAATATATAAATGTGTCGTTAAAACCCGCCACCACCCGACACAGCCAACTAGTAAGGGTTGTCACATAAACAGAACGTGCCAATTCGTCACTAGTACAGCACACAGGTGTGTTGGAGAGCCAAGCCACAACATTTACAATCCGAGTACGACGTTTTGCCAGTAATTACGAGCTTCATCAGGCGAAAGCCATATTTGTGGACAAGTCTTAACTGTTTCGTTCCTTATATAGAGGCGTAGATGTGGTGACCACGCTTCTGCGCTCTTGCACAATGTGGGGGGGGGGGGGTTGTAATTATTGGCGAAACGTCGTACTCGGAATGAAAATGTTGTGGCTTGGCTCTCCAACACACCTGTGTGCTGTACTAGTGACGAATTGGCATGTTCTGTTTACGTGACAACCCTTACTAGTTGGCTGTGTCGGGTGGTGGCGGGTTTTAACATTTATATATTTATGCGATCTAACCCAAAAACCTCTTATGGATGATATTGGTCGCGAAAGCCAATGTGTTAAACAGATGTTAAATCGCTTAATTTAGTAACTACTCATGTGGGTTCGGTTTCTGCAATTTTGTGTAGATGCAGCTCACCTATTTATGCCCAAAATTCGCTATACTATATAATGCGGCTTTTAATTCACTCCATATGTGGCTATGTGGTAATGTACACCCCACTCGGCAAGCAGCGGTCCCGCGCGGTGTCGCTTTGTGTGCCAAATTTTTGTAACGAATATAACTACTAGCGCATAGATCGAGGAAAACCGGCATTTTGTTTACATTCAATGCAGTTCCTATTATACAAATAGCTCCAAGGATATTGGCTACAATAATGACAACGTGTAGTTTTACACACATGTAATACACGTATAACGGTAGTGACGGCGTTCACACAAGTTGCATCTCACTATCACCAAGCAGCCCACGGCCAAGTGGGAAGGTAGCAGCCAGGCGGTGAGCTGGTGTTACCAACAATTGCCCAAGCTCTGCGCTCCTCTATATATCAAGACGTTTTAAGCCAATTAATTAGTGTTTATACGTGTGGGATGAATCCGGACCACCCGGAGAAAACCCATGCTTGTTGTTCCCCTTTTCTGGAATACCAGGGTATGTCGCCTCTTCGACGCTCACGGGAAAGGAGTTTCGCAACATGTGTGCGATTCACCAACCGTTGTCTCCCACAGGGCCAGGTTCCAGGTGTGTATAGCCACCACCGCCCAGCAAATAATCAAGAATTACCAAAGACATCCCACCGCGTGGTACACGGGTATGCACTTTTGCGATTAATCTCAGCCACCTATTTCATATAGATAAAAAAAATATATTTGCCTCGTCTCTGTACCGAATAAAAATGTTCTGTATCCTGTGCTTAATGAATATTTAAATATTCGCTCCGATCAAGGCCTAGGGAAGGTTTCTTCCTTCGATCTACTGGGGCTTCACGTGTCCCTTGACTGGCCAGGGTAGCAATGGTGTGGACACAGGCAATATCTTTCAGAGCAAGAGCTAGAATTAATGAAAGTAGGGCCTTCACATTTTTATAATCTATGTTAATGTAATAATTACAATGATAGAATACTGTACACTAGTTGTGTATTGTACTGTACGTATACACTCACAGCTCATTAGTTGATCCACTGCTGGATGACGGCCTCGCTATGCGGAGTAGGCCGCGGAGAGAGCGCAGACATTGGAGCACAGGACAGTAGAGAACAACAGTGGAAGTTGCTGCATCAGTCTCTGCTGAGAACGCAGGCTTGCCGCAACCCACACTGCCGACTACGTAACGGCGGTCATCCCATCCGGTGCCGTAGGCTACGGCCAGCCTGTGTAGTCTACTTCTCAGGATCTCACGAGACCCGGCACATTTAAGGTGAATCGGTCATCGGCCACATTTTATGGTGAGGGAAAGCTAAAGATGCAGCTCTGCAGGAAGGGGGCCCTCACTAGAGGTTATTTTGGCCTACTCTTCCACGCTGGGTGTTATCGTGTGACTGTAAATTGGCGTGGATTTACTTGCTGATCCAACCTTATTAGAGTCCAAATTCCAGGTCCGCCTGGGCCTCGCCTAAACCCCCGAGCCAGGGGCCATCATTCCGGGGCCGATCTCAGCAGTGGCGCAGTACCCCGGCTCTGGCGCCACGCCACCAGGGCACGGGGGCGGCATGGCGCGCACGCCACACGCAGAGCACGCCGGTACGAGCGACACCACGAGTGCCGGGTCTCGGTGGCTTAGGCTGCCTGGCCGCCCCATTGTGGGGATGGGCCGGGGACTGGACCAGGTCCCAGCGCTTTACACATGGCGCGTAGAGAGACGCGGTTAACACAGCATAAATTAAAATGCATAAATATAGCGAGCGGTTGCGCACGTGGGATTGTGACGTTGCAAATGCTACCGGCATCATTGCACAGTTCAAAAACGACGTCACAATCGAGCACCAACATCTTTGCCGTCCATGCCCCGATCGCAGGAGAAGTCGGACTTGGCCGCGGACTTTCCAGCAGTCCGATTGCCTACGCATCAACTTTATCTGGTGACTTCAGAGCGTCCGTGTTCTGTAGCAGCATGTGCAGTCTCAGCAAACGTGGAACGTTAGGTCAACGTTGGACTAACCACATGCCAACGTTGGCCCATCGTTGTAGGCTTACTGGGAAGGCACAGGTAATAACACAGGCGACGAGTGATACACCTGTGGGGAGATTAAAAAAACATCTCGCAGCACATTTGGTCACCTGGCAACCAACGGGCCCAGCCCGCGAGATGAATGCACTTCTAATTCGGTATGTAACGAGGCCTTAATCCCTCACTGCAACCACCATTCCGAGTCTAGAGACAGAGCCTTGGGGGAGGGGGGGGGGGAGGGAATGGAGGCGTCTCCCCGGTAGAATCCTGCCCACGCTCCTCCGTCACATTGGCACTCATAAGGGTGGTAAAAAATAATCCGTGACAAAAATGACCGCCGTAATTCTCTTCCACCGTTCACGTCCTACTTATCCAGATCCTGCACGACCTTATGCCACATGACTATGATCTCGTTAGGGTCGAACTTGTGCACGCAGATGAGCTCATTAAGGACGTAGTTGTTGGGCAGCGCTTCGCGGTTCGAGGCCAGGAGGGCATCCACACCGTACGTCTTGAAGCCCAGGTGGTTGATGACCTTGACGTGCATGGACTCGGCGCACAAGCCGAAGAAGACGTCGTCGATGGGGAAGATTTCGAGCGAGTGCGACGCGTTGAAGAACTTGAGTGCAGTCGAGCCGGCCATCGCCAGCCCACCGCCGCCTACGTACGCCGGGTATGTCGAGTGCGGCCACAGCTGCGTGGGCACGTAGTACTTGCTGGGCACGTAGCGCACGGGTGGCGTGTCGTCGATGATGTGCCCCACGTAGAAGTCACCTTGTGGGTACCCGAGCAGCAGCTCCACCAGGTTGGCTATGTGCAGGAACATGTCATCGTCCCCATTGTAGATGAAGGCCGCGTGCGGACAGCTTTGGTTGAGCCAGTGCAGGAAGTTGACCTGCTTCACCGTCAGGTTTAAAAAGGTGTCCAGGAAGCCCCACTGCAGGATGTCGCCGTTCTTGGCGGCCTCCTCTTGCAGGAAGTGGTTGTAGAAGGGGCGGCGCGCCTCGTTGTCGGAGACGCCTATGAGGAAGATCAGCCGCACCTGCAGGCCTCCCACCGCCACCTCCTGCCCCCACGTCTGGCGGATGGCATGTCGCTTGCTGTAGCTCTCCGACAGCGACTTGATGACGAGCAGCAGCAGCGGCTGCTCGGGTTTCACGCCGGCACACTTGTTGGGCTGGTCGATGATAATGGGGAAGCGGCGGCAGTGGCGGTACGTCATGAACTGCTGCATGTGCTGGGGCAGCGAGGCAAAGTCGGCCACCTCGGTCGCGATGTTGGCACGTGGGTAGCATGGCTCTGTGAAGTTTTCGGCGGGTTTGGACGGCAGTGACGGCAACGACGGCGCCGTGGGCACCAGGCCCCTTATCGTATCGAACCACGGCACAAGGTTCTCGACGCCGTGCAGCGTGAAGAGGAAAGAGGCCACCATGATCACCGAGAGGCCACAGATGACGTACTTGCGCGGGGTCGGCATGCTCGCGGAGGCGGGGAGCACGGTCAGCGACGGCGCCGGTTTCCGCTGCTGCCTCCATAGCCAGAGAATGGGGTGCAGGGAAAAAATAAATACTAATTAACACAAACATTGGGTTGGGTTCAGTGATTTCAGTCAGGATATATTTGGTGAATTTCCAGCGCTGACCCCGTGACCTCATGGCCCGGGTGATCGCGCGCGGCATGGGCGGCAACGCAGGAGACCCCACGGCGGGCAGCACGACAAACTGGAGAGCGCCCTTTAAAGATACTACAGTCCCCGCGACGCTTCCGCGACGGGGACATAAAAAAACCCTTGCGCACATCACCACCCCCATCATCATCACCATCACCCCAAGCAGGTGTGTTGGCCACAAACAGAATGAAAGACGAAAGATGAAAACGAGATTAAGAAAGCACCAGTGGAACATCGAATACAAACACCCGCTCTCGGCAGCTGCAGAACCCGCCTGCCAACATTACTAACTAGTTATTACAAACCATTGATTACTTACCATTGCATCTCTAGGCATCACTGCCTGCTTATTTCTGCTCACCTGTAAGGACTCGCTTATGACATCACAACCACCTATTTCAGCCCCAAGATTGGAGTGGGCAATTTCACAAGTCTGACAACTGCCTGATGATGCTGGCTGTAATGATGAGTGAAAGGGCCGCACCCAATTGTTAAATGTGTGTGGACCGCTCTCAAGCAACTCCAATGGTACTGCTGAACCAGCGATAAACTGGCTACGTTTATTAATCACGTGACGTTATTAATTAGTTGTCGGGTGGAGGAGGGTGTACGACACACATCTTACTCACGCGGAGATCTGACTCAATCAATTATGAATCATAATACTGGTTGTGAAAGCCTGTGTTCAAATAACCAGAACCTCCACGTCACATCCTGTCCTCACGTTTCTCATTATTGTGGCCGTCTACTTTACAACTTCACGACAACGTGGCCACAAGGTGGTAAATGTATTATGAACTTCGTTCGTGCCGTACATCGCCAACCGTGCTCATCGGAGGTGTGAGGAAGGACAACAAACTAAACACAAAAAGCAGTTCTAAATAAATTTGTTTTCAATCGAGATTTAAAAGTGCGTAGCTCCAGTGGCTTCCTAATATCGGAAGGAAGAGAACGTTCCAGACGCCTGCAGAAGCGCATCTGAAAGCGTGCGATGCGGTGACCACCATCTTTGTTCAATGTCCAGCCAAAATATTCGCAACACGTGTGGCATGTAAGCTGAACGTCGCAAGGTATCTGTGTAGCCTGCCACTTGGAAGGCAGTTAGAAAGTGCAATCTGCCAGGCACGGATTCGGCTATTTGTTTGCTCAATTTTCAAAAATGTCATTATATAATAAAGTAAGCTAAATATTAAAAAATGTAACCTTTCATCATCATGATGGCTGCCCGGCGTCCAAGCACAACGTCTCCCTTGCCACAGGAGCTCGGTGGCCTCTCAACACGCAAGAGAAACACCGGCTGCTGTGGAAATGGTTTTTATTTCATTAATATATTTCACTTGGGAAATCGCCTTCAGATGAAACATCTCAGCTTGCCAATGTGTCTAGGCTGCCAGTTGACACGCACACACAGCACACATGTAATGGCACATGCACCGTACTCATACAACCACACATGTACTATACACACTCATAAACATAGATACAAAGACCGATATTATCGCCTGAACAGACTGTTGGGGCAAGTGCTGTTTGCGAGCACCTACGAAGGCCTGAAATGCACACGAGAGGGTGGGTGACGAGCATCACGCCCGGCCGCCTCGTGACGATGTTTACACATCAAACCAGGTACTCCTTTGCGGCTGAGTCAACCTAGGGGAGGCCCATGACCGGTGTGCGCTGATAACGCGCCCAGCCGTGGATATATCTCGTCATTATCAGATTGCATGGGCATGCACGCGAATGTTCACCGCCGTCGTTGAGAGGAGGGCATCCGTGTCGTGGTGCGGCCAAACCGGCTGAGAGGCTTTGCCGGTTGCCGCTGCGGACGGCACGAACCAGCTGGGCTGCTTCTCTCGCGAGGGCGTTCCTCGGGTGTCACGGCACGCGTGAAACCATTCACGAGCGAAACACGTGGTCGCGCCGGCACGCCGCGTGTTCTCACGTCACAAGGGCGTTGTCAGGGCGGGGGTCACGCCGTGTCTTCTTAAGAGCAAATGTAAAAGTTTAGAAGAAAAATAACCATTGTGACGTTTGTTTTGTTTAACCGGGTGAAAACTCAGAAAACAGGATACGAGTCTCATTTGCAAGAGTGACATCGGTCACGGTAATGACAAAAGCCAAAGAAGTAAAAATAAAGTACAGCAATTAGGCCAATAGAAATCGGCGCAAAAACAACTGCGATTCTAAAGCGCGCACGAGGAGAGTAGATGTCGTAACTCTACATACCCCGACCCCAGCAGTGTGATCAATTGCCACGATTCCGGATCACTAGTTCACCAGGGGAGGCTCGACATCGTGCGAGCGACACCGTACCCAGGCGTTAGCCCGCCGGGTTCCACGTGCAGCCTTTGAGAGCGGGATGGAGGAGTCAACGAGGACTCGTCGATTGAAGAAGTTAAAAGAGATAATGGGGATCAATTATATCTCACGAATAGCGACACTAACACGTTCATCAACAACGCTCCATGTCGCTATGGGACCGCTTTGCCAGTATGAAGACGATGAATACTGTATCTTGATAATGATATATTGATATCATATTGAATATCTTTAAATCTTTATCATTAAGTCTTGACTTTTATAAAAGTGTCCCATAGCTATCAAGATATCATGTATTGATAGCAATCAATACATCATTGAATACTCCATGGGTGTTTCCTTAGAAGTAAACAAAATAAACAAATAATAGGGGGACGTTTAGGGAAATGGCCCTTCTTTAGTGTACGTGGTTATCTCAATGGGAAACAAATATATAATGGTGTAATATGTTATTGTGATAGACGTCGCCCGAAATCGAGAACTGCCCAGGTGATTGCATCACACGCCACAGTTTCGGGTGTAAACGGAAGCGATTTGATTGACAGGAGTATGAATTTAAATTGTATAATTTGGTCAGAGACGGCGCCCCCACATTCTACGTAGCGAGACGAAGAGAGAGCGGACCGACTCTGGCTCGGGTCGACTCTGGCTCGGGTCGACTCTGGCTCGGGTCGGCTCTGGCTCGGGTCGGCTCTGGCTCGACTTAGTTACCAGCTGATTTTCGGATGTGAATCGGCCACCTTGCGTCTACACGATTTGCCCCGACAGATTGATGATCAAGGTGCCGGAATGGTAAAGACAGAATAATCGTGGGCAAAATTCTCGTGGTTCCGCACATTCCACCGACTCCCCTCTTAACCTGATTCAAGTTCATTCCATCGCAACTGCACGACCGCCGTGATGTTGACTCCACGCGATCCGGACGACGGTGGGGGCAGCACCCCCATGACGCCTATGGGGGGGGGGGGGGTGATGGGGGGGGGGCAATGGCCCAAATTCACAGCACGTGCATGTTTTGCTGTGCTATTGAAGGCTTACTACCCGAAATGTCGCCTATCGAATGTTTAAAGCCAAAGTGTGTGTTTTTTTATTGACGAACGTGTTCAGTTTGTTTATTTACTGTGCTTATGCACCACTCTAACGCAGAAGCGGCAGCAGGAGGATTACCAGATATCGTTTTAATCTAAGAAGTTGGGCCCTGCGTGGTTAGCCAAACGTAATCGTATTTTAGATTACTGCACCTGTTACATAAGTCACGTTCCCAGGTAGGGCTGTGTGCATCAGTGGTTTTACGTGGAAACGTTCATTCGCTTTAGAGGTGAATATTCCGAGCATGAACGTGGGACCCGCGCTCTGGAACCCAAAGGCTATAAAACTGCTCACTCCCGTCACGCACAGAATTCCCGAGTACCCCCCCCCCCCCATCCCATCGATGGAACTGTACTCCGGCAGATCCCAAGTGACAACATCAATACGCAGACAAACGCGCCTCTTTCCCGTGCCTCTGTAACGAGGCCCGGCTGCACAACGCGCCTCGCCCCCCACCCCCCCCGGGGAGCCAATCCTACGAGTTGGACTCCCCTTGACAACCACCACAAGATGTTTTTCAACAACAGTGTGAAATAACAAAAAGACGTATTTTACGAAGACGGAGCGCCGCTACAGCGTTAAATGTTTGAGACTACATTGATATGATTTTAGCAACATGAACCGCGATATACAATAGCCTCGGTGCGACCGTGCGAGACAAATAAAATAATGGGGCCCCACCTGACCGATTGCTGCAACCTCTGAGCTGATAACGTCGCTACTATACCACTGTTCCTTGCCTATGAACATCTGACAGTTCACCAGCATTAGTTGCAGCACGCCTGACTCTTCTGATTAGACAATGAATGTCAAACCCGGTTCAGAGTTTTGTTTGCGCTGAGCCAATGCTGCAGTCCCCAGAAAGGCCGTGCGTGCATAAGAAACGTACTTGTAGTCATCATGTGGAGGGACAGAGAAGGATGTGAAGGAGGCACGCTGTCGTCTCCAGTGCTATAGACCTGGCCCCTGTGCTGGGCAGGGAGTTTCCACCGTGTGGCTCCCCTTGTAAAACGGAACGATAAACTAGTTCAATCTTGATTTAAAGCTTTCGTGACTGCAGGAATCCATACTCTTTGGTTCTGTCGGTAAAGTCACGTAGGTAGAAAGTAACAATAAACTCGTTTTATTGTACAAGGAGAGGCCCACTGAGCGATGCAGCTCTTTTTCAGAAGCGACCTGGCCACAAATTGCAGGGTGCTTCAAATAAATGTTTACACTTACATGGGACTATCATATTTAATGGAAAAAATGGGATAATACACTGTAACATGATAACAAATGTTAATAGCTTTAAAAAGTCAGTCTCTACTAGTTCACCATCTTTGTCAACGCGTGCCTGGAATCTGGTCCAGGTGGTCTCCGGAGCCCTGAGGCACATTTCTTGTGCTATTGTTGCAAATTCTCAGAAGTGTAAAAAACTAGTTTGACACACCCTGTATTGCTCAACTGAGTGTCTTCTTCGATTTAAAGCTTTCGTGACTGCAGGGATTCATGTTCTTGGTTCTTTCGGTAAAGTCACGTAGAAGGTGAGACACTACTTAACCAATACATACTTCACTTGGAATGGAACTTCCTAAAAATAAACTGAGGGCACCCCAATGGGCCCCCCCCTATCTCCGGTTGTAGCCAACATTTTCATGGAGAAATTATAGACTGACGCCATCCAGACTGCCACTCTGCGCCCAACCTTATGGAAGAGGTACGTGGATGACACTTTTGTCATCTGGCCACATGGCCGGCCTGCTCTAGACCAATTCCTCGACCACATCAATTCCATACACCCAGCCATCAGATTTACCATGGAAGTCGAAAAAGATGGCAACCTACCTTTTTTGGATGTCCTAATAAAAAGGGACCTGATGGTTCAATGAGCCACTCTGTCTACAGGAAAGCTATCCATACGGATGTTTATCTGAAACCGGATTCCCACCACCATCCATCCCAGAAGAATTCCCACATCAAGACTCTGCACCATAGAGCCCAATGCATATCAGTCCAGGAACACATAGCCAGTGAACTCAAGCACGTACACCAAGCTCTTAAGGCTAATGGTTACTCCGACTAGACAATCCGCAAAGCTATCACTCCAACCATGAAGAAGGACCCTCTTGAGGAGCCTTTGAAAACCATCACTTTACCCTACATTGAGGGGATCACAAAAAAGATCTCCAAAATCTTGAATAAACACAAGATCCAGGTCCGATTCAACACATTAAATAAAATCCGTGATCTGGTTCAGTCTGTAAAAGATATGATTCCGGACATACAGTACCCTGGCGTCTACAAACTAAGTTGCCTCTGTGGTAGTAGTTACATTGAAGAAACCAAACGACATGTCTCGGACCGCATTCGTGAACACAAAGCAGACCTTAAACACGGTAGGACCAACACCTCGGCCGTGGCAGATCACTGTTATAATTCAGTAGGCTCACATGACATTGACTTCTCCAAGACAGAGGTTCTCTGCAAGCTATCTGGCTACAATGAGAGATTCGTTCATGAGGCTATCCACATATACAAAAACAGAGACAATTTCAACTGAGAAGATGGATTCTGGCTTAGCAATCATTGGAAGGATTTGATAAACCATTTCGGGTCTTAATTGATTGTTCACGCTTACGGTGGCTTTCAGATCGCATCCATTATTTTCGTCTCCCCCCTCCTCTTTTCCGAACATAGATGGACTCGACCATCTGAATAACTGCCAAATCGCTCTCCGTGGTGCTAACGTTAAAAAAACGCCACTTTTTCAAAATTTCTTGCTGTGGCTTTCACACCTGATGATGATTGCTTGTGTTGCAGTCGAAACGTCGTGAAAATTTGATTGTTTTATATTTTTATTATTTTATTGCTTCCCTTCTACGTGACCTTACCGAAAGAACTAAGAATATGAGTATCTTCTGTGGAGAACCCGGAGATAAATCCACGCCATCACGGGAAGAGAGAGAGAGACATGCAAACTCCAAACATAAAGAGGTGTCAGGGTCGGGATCGAACCCATGTCCTCCTGTGTACCAGGTGAGGTAGTAAACACCTCATCACCGTGGTGAGATGAAGAAGATACAGAGGCCATCTCTCATCACGAGGCTGCCTGCGGGACTCGCCTGGTGACAACAGCACCACGAGAGAGGCAGCCTCCTCAAGAGACCAGCAATGGTGGGCAAGGGTAAGACAGACACGGGAGAAGACGCAGGTGAGAGACATCGAGCGGTGGGACACAGGTGAGATCACGGGATGAGTGAACGAGCTATATTGATCCATAATAGAGTTTTTTGGGTTAGATCGCGTAAAAATATAAATGTGTCGTTAAAACCCGCCACCACCCGACACAGCCAACTAGTAAGGGTTGTCACGTAAACAGAACGTGCCAATTCGTCACTAGTACAGCACTAACCGGTGTGTTGGAGAGCCAAGCCACGACATTTACAATCTGAGTACGACGTTTCACCAGTAATTACAACCAGCTTCATCAGGCGACAGCCAGATTTGTGGAGAAGTCCACCTGTTTCGTTCCTTATATAGAGGCGCAGATGTGGTGACCACGCTTCTGCGCTCTTGCACAATGTGGGGGGGGGGGGGGGGGGGGTGGGGGGGGTTACTGAGGCAACGTACATTACGCATGTTCATCATGCATGTACGTTATGCGAGCCCTTTGAACTTGTCCTTCCTGTCTATTGTGTTGATTAAAATAGCCGTACCAACGGTAATCTCTATTGAAGTACGCTGCCCTTTGTAGGCATGCATTTAAATACTGTATTATTTGATTATTCGCTTCCACGCAGCACTAAGGCGGTAGCGATCCGAACGGTTAACATTATTTAGATTTATTTCAATTTCCATAGATTCTCTAATTAGTCTTGGCCAGTAGTAGCTAGTTTTGCACAAAACTTCAACATTATCAAAATCCATTGAGTGTGCTTGTTGGCACGCGTTCTCTGCTACTGCTGACAGTTGTGTTTGGAAGAATTCAATATTTCTCTTTTAGTCTCGTGCTGATCATTCGTCCTGTTTGCCCAACATAGCACTTGCAACAAGTGCAGTTAATCCTGTACACACCTGTTGATAACTTCGGTAATACATCTTTTGTACCAGATATGAATATCTGTATTTTATGTACCGTGGCAAATCTGACTCGGATGTTTTGTTTATTCCAAACATCTGGCTAGTTTATCAGTTCTAGATTTGAAGCTTTTGTGACTGCAAGGATCCATACTCTTTGGTTCTATTCGGTACAGTCACGTAGGTAAAAAAATAAAACAACAAAAAATCACGACGTTTCGGCCACAACACTAGCAGTCGCTTGTGTTGTGTCGTGATTTTTTGTTGTTTTATTTTTTTACCTACGTGACTTTACCGAATAGAACCAAAGAGTATAGTTTATCAGTTAATCCCGCAATGTACGGTATTTATATTGTTTTAATTACTCGGACAGTTGCAATGCTCTTGTTATTTGATTTGGTTTTGGTATTCAGAAGCGTGGTCACAATCAGTCCAGGAGGCGCAGGGTGGGGAGCACGAGGACACGGGGACACGAGGGACACGTAGACACAGAGGACACGGGGACACGAGGGACACGGAGACAGGTGACACGGAGACACGAAGGACACGGAGACACAGGGGACACGGAGACACGAAGGACACGGAGACACGAGGGACACGGAGACACGAGGGACACGGAGACACGAAGGACACGGAGACACAGGGGACACGGAGACACGAAGGACATGGAGACACGAGGGACACGGAGACACAGGGGACACGGAGACACAGGTGACACGGAGACACGAAGGACACGGAGACACGAAGGACATGCGCACTTACCCAGGCAGATCGGGTCGCGTCTGCCGGAACACGGAGAAGGCGACCTCGTGGGGCTGGGCGCAGCTGGGGCAGCTGGCGCAGCTGGGGCAGCTGGCGCAGCTGGGGCAGCTGGGGCAGCTGGCGCAGCTGGGGCAGCTGGCGCAGCTGGGGCAGCTGGGGCAGCTGGGGCAGCTGGCGCAGCTGGAGCAGCTGGGGCAGCTGGAGCAGCTGGGGCAGCTGGAGCAGCTGGGGCAGCTGGAGCAGCTGGGGCAGCTGGAGCAGCTGGGGCAGCTGGCGCAGCTGGGGCAGTTGGGGCAGCTGGGGCAGTTGGAATGAACTGGAGCTGGCCCGCCGGAGCTCCCTCCCGCTCACCGGCAATGACAGCGCCAATTTGGTGGGCGCATGGACTGCTCCGGTTCCTGAGGGGTACACGGGGCGGGGCCTCATCGCAAGGGGCGGGGCCCTGCACAAAGGGGGCGACCCTAACGAGTGTGCGGGTCCAATTTGCATATTGAAGTCGAGGGGGGAGGGAGGGGGGCTGAATACATGGGAGGGGCTTGTGGGATTGGGGCGTGGTTCTTGCGTTAGGTAGCTCAAGGTCTTTCGGAGTTTTATATTTCATTAAAATGAAAACATCCATAAAATAGGTTTTTTGGGTTAGAACGCATAAATATATAAATGTGTCGTTAAAACCCTCCACCACCCGACACAGCCAACTAGTAAGGGTTGTCACGTAAACAGAACGTGCCAATTCGTCACTAGTACAGCACTAACCGGTGTGTTGAAGAGCCAAGCCACAACATGCACAATCTGAGTACGACGTTTCGCCAGTAATTACAACTAGCTTCATCAGGCGACAGACAAATCTAAAAAAGTGTGATTTATCGCAGTGGTCCTTATTTGGTAAGATCTAAATACTCTTTGGTTCTTGCGGTAAAGTCACGTAGAAAGAAAATAAATTACGATTTTATTATTAGACTACGTGACTTTACCGAAAGATTCTCTTAGTTTTTTTTTGGTGAAGTCACGTAGGTAAAAAATGTAAGTGACTTTACCGAAAAAAACAAAGAGTATGAATGCCTGCAGTCACGAAAGCTTCAAATCAAGATCTAAATAGTTTCGTTTGAATGTCAGTGTCAGGTGTTGTGTTTGAAGTCTCTGTGGGCTTCAATGTTGGACCATTGCGTCGGTGACCCGAGCCCGTGGCAGCCGGCCGGGTGACCCGAGCCCGTGGCAGCCGGCCGGGTGACCCGAGCCCGTGGCAGCCGGCCGGGTCACCCGAGCCCGTGGCAGCCGGCCGGGTGACCCGAGCCCGTGGCAGCCGGCCGGGTCACCCGGCCCGCAGCGCTTGTCGAGTACGACACCGGCGCGGGGAGGGGGAGACACGGGGGGGGGGGGGGGGGGGCACATGAGAAATACAGTACACGTATTCACATACTACTACTGTGTATACGTGTACTGTATATAGACCATACACGTCCCGTCAGCCACGCGGCCTCGTGCTGCTCACGCGAAGCGCTCGATTTTGGTAGAATCGCACGCAGACAGGTCAAGTCACTTGCCATGTTGAGGTCTTCTCTTAAAGACTCGCCTCTTTCGCCTGGCCTACACTTACCATGTATGACCAGTGGACACTGGGATTTGTTGTACGGTGTTTATATTTCCAAACTTTATGCATGGCGCACCGATATCCCTGGATGAATTACGCCTTATGCTTGAGTATTACTATGTTGCGGTGACGTCACCTAGACGTTTGTGCCAGGCTAGGTGCACCTTGAGGCCGTCACGTGAAGTGTGGAAGGGTGTCGTTTCTGGCAGGTCACGGGACAGACTGACAAGCCAAGGGTTGACTGCTGAGATGACTGGCAGATGGACGAACTGTGTTTCCCCCTGGGCCAACTCGCTACGTTTTATCCACCGGGCGCTCCGCTCGTTGTTGTGAGAAGTCGCTTCTCTGCCCTCCGTTGTTGTCGGAGGGCGACTGCCTCCAACTGCCCAGTAGCAGCGTCCTTCACGAGGCTCCTCCATGATGCACTGCATGAGACGCGGGAGAAAGCTGTGGCACTCTCGAGGGCTCACTGGCGAAATATATAAATCATCCGCTGAACAATGCCTCCTCCTCCTCTGAGATGTTCTTAAACCTCGTCACCGGCCAGGTATATCGACTCACGGAACTCAGGGTCCGGCCAGGAGATAAGACCGAACCTGTTTCGTAAAAGTTCAGATCTATTCCTGAGGCCACCAAATGTCACGAGGAGTCAGCCTCTGCGCTTGAGATGTGCCTGCATTGTAATGTCTTGACACTAGATTTTTTTAATCTTCACCTTGGAATTCCAGAAATAATAAAATGACAAATGAGAAAAACGACAACAACAACAATTTAATGAGGAGAGGCCGATGTGAGCAGAACTCCATCCTCTGTCCCTAAAACACGTCCACTGTGCTGGTGGACTGTGGTGGTGGACTGTGGTGGAGGTCCACTGTGGTGGTGGACTGTGGTGGAGGTCCACTGTGGGTGGCGGACTCTGGTGGAGGTCCCCTGTGGTGGTGGACTGTGGTGGAGGTCCACTGTGGGTGGTGGACTGTTGTGGAGGTCCACTGCGGTGGTTGACTGTGGTGGAGGTCCACCGTGGTGGTGGACTGTGGTGGAGGTCCACTGTGGTGGAGGTCCACTGTGGTGGTGGACTGTGGTGGAGGTCCACTGTGGTGGTGGACTGTGGTGAAGGTCCACTGTGGGTGGTGGACTGTTGTGGAGGTCCACTGTGGTGGTGGACTGTGGTGGAGGTCCACTGTGGTGGACTGTGGTGGAGGTCCCCTGTGGTGGTGGACTGTGGTGGAGGTCCACTGTGGGTGGTGGACTGTTGTGGAGGTCCACTGTGGTGGTGGACTGTGGTGGAGGTCCACTGTGGTGGACTGTGGTGGAGGTCCACTGTGGTGGTGGACTGTGGTGGAGGTCCACCGTGGTGGTGGACTGTGGTGGAGGTCCACTGTGGTGGTGGACTGTGGTGGAGGTCCAGTGGTGGTGGACTGTGGTGGAGGTCCACTGTGGTGGTGGACTGTGGTGGAGGTCCACTGTGCTGGTGGACTGTGGTGGAGGTCCACTGTGGTGGTGGACTGTGGTGGAGGTCCATTGTGGGGGTGGACTGTGAAGGTGGTCCATTGTGGTGGTGGACTGTGGTGGAGGTCCACTGTGGTGGTGGACTGTGGTGGAGGTCCATTGTGGGGGTGGACTGTGGTGGAAGTCCACTGTGGTGGAGGTCCACTGTGGTGGTGGACCACTGTGGTGGTGGACCACTGTGGTGGTGGACTGTGGTGGAGGTCCATTGTGGGGGGGGGACTGTGGTGGAGGTCCACTGTGGTGGTGGACTGTGCTGGTGGTCCACTGTGGTGGACTGTGGTGGAGGTCCACTGCGCTGGTGGACTGTGGTGGAGGTCCACTGTGCTGGTGGACTCTGGTGGAGGTCCACTGTGGTGGTGGACTGTGGTGGAGGTCCGCTGTGGGGGTGGACTGTGGTGGAGGTCCACTGTGGTGGTGGACTCTGGTGGAGGTCCACTGTGGTGGACTGTGCTGGTGGTCCCCTGTGGTGGTGGACTGTGGTGGAGGTCCACTGTGGTGGTGGACTGTGGTGGAGGTCCACTGTGGTGGTGGACTGTGCTGGTGGTCCACTATGGTGGTGGACTGTGGTGGTGGTCCACTGTGGTGGACTGTGCTGGTGGTCCCCTGTGGGTGGTGGGCTGTGGTGGAGGTCCACTGTGATGGTGGACTGCGGTGGTGGTCCACTGTGGTGGACTGTGGTGGAGGTCCACTGTGCTGGTGGACTGCTACGATTTGTTGGCATTTCAGCCACGGTTCCTTTGACTCCCGAAATACAATGAACTAAAAAAAGATTCCGGTTTTAATAATAAGCCACCAAGGAGATGGTTGAGCAGCACAAGTCACATTCCATCTCTATTGTTTATTGCAGTGTGTGCATTCAACAAAACCCACATTGTAAGTTTGTCTCACTGATGAGTATCAGGTGTTCACGTCCTTCGAGATTACACAATGAGTTTTATGGAGGCTTCCTCCTTCTGTTCCTCTCGAGTTCTGGGTTTATGTGTGACCAGGGACAATGAGCCGCGAGCCCCGCAGCCCGAGATGTCACAGAAGGTATGCGGGGTGAGTTGTCGACAAGTCCCGACAGCCACGGGTCCTTCAACAACGTTCCAAAAATCCGTTCCTGCGGAGCGAAACAAAACGCACGGCCCCTCGCCACGAGGCTTCGTGCACAGTGGCGCTGTGACCAACGTGGCCCCTCGTTAATGCACCCTGGTTGTGTTGGTGCTTTACGGGTGGATTCAGATTACGCAGCACACACCTCACGCTCATGTCCCCCACCTGTCTCGTCTGTAATAGGAGAGGCTGTCGCCCACCTCCCACGCGTGGGTCTTCTCCGGATGATCTGGTTTCCTACCACGCAAAGTTTGTGGGGAATAACAGGTCCCTGCAGGGTGGGCTGGTAGGACAAGTCTCTGCGCTGTCTATTGCTGATTTTACACCCAACAGCACGAGATTTCACTTCGTTAAAGTATTGAAAGGGGACGGACGGACACATTAATCTATTGCAGGCTGGTACACTCAGTTTACAACTTCCTTCCTACCAGTAATAGCCATTTTCTATACCTTTGAGGCATAAGCAATTAGAAAAGAATACTTATTAACCAGGAACAAAAATGGTGTTCCATCGTGTTATCCAACATCGCAACATCGCCCTCTGCTGTGAAGGCTTTGCCCTCTCCTGACAACGAGTTGGGGCTCTGAGGTTCTCCTTGGACACTCGTAACAACAATAAACGCCCGTTCTGTGCTGCTGAGGAGCACTGTGGCCAATCGAGGAACAGACTTCCGTTTGTAATTCCACATAAATAATATAACATTTCGTGAATTGTCACGCTAGCCCTTTGAACAAATGTCATCCAGTAGCGATTGTATAACCAGGAGAAGTCTGGATCAGGTGCAATGCTTAGAACATCGGGGAAGGTAGCGGGATTCGGCAACCCTGCTGATGATATAAAAAATATGTGAACCCACGTTGGTTTCTTTACATTTAACAAACATGCAAGGAAGCGTAATTGAGCCTCAAACACTTATTCGGAAAAGCTATGCATTAAAATGTGTGTACAATTCCTTTGAAGGAGTTTCAAGGTTATTTTGTTTAACCAGTTGAGAAGTCAAGAGGCTATGATGAGTCTTATTTGCAAGAGTGATCTGGGTCATCAAAATTACAAAACCCAAACAAGTAAAATAAACTGCCACCAAAGAAGAAAATAGAAGCCAAAGCAAAAAGAACCGTGTCACATGGCAAATTGAAAACATGTCGTTAGGGTTTTGCCACCTGGCAGCCGAGAGGGCTTGGGAGTTTCACAGATCTACGTGATCCACCGACCCTGGCCCCCAAAGTGCTGGGTCACAGGCGTGGGTGCCACCATGGTTGACCAGGTGACCCGACCAGGTGACCCGCTGATCCAACCGGGTGACCCAACAGTCCGACTGGGTGACCCGAGTGGGTGACCCGAGCGGGTGACCCGCCGGTCCGACCGGGTGACCCGACTGTCCGACCGGGTGACCCGACTGGGTGACCCGACAGTCCGACCGGGTGACCCGACCGGGTGACCCGCTGGTGTAACAGGGTTACCTGTTGGCCCGCACTCTTGCCAACGGAACATCATTCGCAGAGTCGAAGGCACGGTTCTCATCCCCACCCGTTACCATGATGAGAATTCACAGTCAAACAAAATGTTGTTAAAATGTGACTTTTTTATCAAGTCGCATCACTCTTTATCAGGAGCGTCCTACTTCGTAGAGTTTTAATTTTAAGATGTTTTCAGTCAATTAATGACGGGTGTTTATTATTCACGTGAGAGGAAACAGGAGCACCCGGAGAAATTGCACCCCTTGCGCGAGGGAACAACACTTTATCTCCGTACAGATGGAAACAGATGGTGTTGAGTCCACTGTCTGCACTGCCTGCTCCTGGCGAGCCAGGGTAGGGCTCTTCCTTGTCGCCCACTGGGAGTTTTACGACATCTTTGTGGTGATCCACCAACCCTCGCTGCTGTTGCTGCCTCCACAGCGCCGCACAATGCCAGAGCTCAAACCACGTGCAACGACTGCAATGCAACCACTGTAGTACAACTACTGTCGAGGACAAGATGAGTGCAGCTCCCCCATCGTCAGGCCTTCCCTCGTGAAACAATCATCACGTGGCCCTGCGAGTTTAAATACTGGCCCGAGGACCAAGGTGTGTTGTTTAGGGCCATCGCAAGGGTTATTGACGGGAGACGCGGTATGGATAATGATGATGTTCTTGGAAACCCAGTCAACATGTCGACATTGGGCCACGTGGTTAGAACCGTTGTTACCAACGTTGGGGCAACAAAGTAACTTGACTTGGGTCGCTATGGGGTACAAGCATTAATCAGGGCTGTCGGACAGAACATTCCCTTTCATCTTTGTCGTGCAGCTTCATGTCGATGCACAACAACAACTATAATCTTACACCGAGGAGGCGGCTCAGCCAGATAATTTGGTCAGGAGGCTCCGAGTTTGCCTGGGGGCGACCGCAGGGCCATGTTGGTCCGTGGCCCCCCGCGATGGGGTTGTCTGCAGTGTGCGTGCGGCGGGGACACCGCACGGACGGTGACGCTTCGGCAATTCCAAGTCGTGGGTGGCTTTTGCGTCGTATTGAGAAAATGTCCACTCCACGGCCAGGCGCTTGCTGTGGGACGCGATACTCTTTGTTTATTTTACGTTTCATTTCTGTACAGTGTCATGCACGCGACTTTTTCCATCTCAAAAAGGAGCAGTAGAGTTGTGACGCGCACAATTCTCGCGCAGGGACAACCACGGACGAGCGGGAAGGCAGCCAGGACGGGCACCATCAACAGTTGCCCACACTCTGTGACCCTATATTGGGATGTTGGGCCGATTCTCTTCGTGAGTATTGATACATGTGAGAGGGAACAGTAATAACCGGAAACAAAACCCCGCACGCGTGCGAGGCGGTACAACACTCGATCCCCGTGAAGATGGAATCTGGATGGGGATCAACCCAGCTGCTGTCCTGCCATCGTGCCCCGGCAAACCGGTAGGTGGCGACCTCGACACCCACGGGCAGGGAGGGAGTTTCCCGAACGCGTCTGCGATCCACCAACCCTCCCTCGCCTCCAGTGCCGGGCTACAGGTCACGTGCAGCAGGGCTACCAACGCCAGGATTTTTCTGCAACGCTGGGCCAACGTTGGCATGTGGCCGGAACCGTTGGATCAACGTTGGCCCAACGTTCCACATGTACTGGGATAGCATTTGCCACACGTGCAAGTGATGTCGGGCACATATTGGGGTTTTGCTCACAGTAATCACAGTATCGGTCACGAAAGTCTACGCGTTAAATGTGCCGGTGTACTGCTTGTAGGGGTTGCTTATAAACCTGCCCGCAATCCCAGGCACGTCTCTCGCTCTCCACAATGCCACCACGCCCGCGTGCAGCCCGTGGTGTGCCAGGCCTTGGCAGGGCTCTGCCAGCAGGGGGCGGTACGGGACGGACGCTCACGGATCGTGACCAGAGCGCCCAAGCAGGAGCGGCGCGCAAGCGACGCCTCAGGCGTCTGGGCACCAAGGCAGCCGTGGCTGCTGCTGCTCCCTCTCGATTAAAAACATAAAAACAACTCAACAAAGTCGTCAATAATGCTCCGCATTAACGGGAGAAGGATTAATGACACTATGTAACACAATTTTTGTTCCTGGGTAGTTAATGTTATTTCTTCATTGCTTATGACCACAGTGGGCAAAAATTGTTTCTTGTTGTGGTTGTCCCACCTGATGGCGGACGCTTGTGTTGCGCCCGAAACGTCGTGATTTAATCGATTTCATTTATATTTTTATACCTACTACGTGACTTTACCGAAATAACCAAAGAGTATGGATCCCTGCAGTCACGAAAACTTAAAATCTAGATTTTATGCCTAAAACGTATAGAAAAGGGCTATTATTCCCCACAAACTTTGCTTTTGTGACCAGGACAGTGATATTTACAAAATTGACCTTTTTTCAATAAGAAATGGGCGAATTTGTGTCTTTTCGTTCACACAAAGTCAGAAAAAAACAACAAATGAATCAAAATTAAATGTATTTATCCTAAAGTAATACAAAAATGACTACAAAAGATTTAGAAGTTAGCAGTTTTTCGAGATTTACAATTATACTGTAAATCATTTTAATGAATCAGTCCCTAAATGTAGTCTCCCATCATGTTCTCGTTATACTGTCCTTGGTAGCGGCGTTCAAAGTCCAGTATATCCTGGCGGAAGCGCTCGCCTTGCTCCTCCGAGTACGCTCCCATGTTCTCGAATTTATCAAGATGAGCATCAAGGATATGGACTTTGAGGGACATCCTACAGCCCATTGTGCCATAGTTCTTCACCAGAGTCTCAACCAGCTATATGTAGTTTTCGATCTTGTGATTGCCCAGGAAGCCACGAACCACTGTGACAAAGCTGTTCCAAGCCGCTTTGTCCTTACTAGTGTAGTGGTTGATTTCACTCGGACAACTTTTGTCTTTCTTCCAACAGCACTTTATTCACAGTTCTCCACATGACCTCAATACTTCACAGTTCCCTTGCTTGCCACGGCTCGCTCGCCGCGCCTTACTCGACTCACTCGCCGCCCTTGCCTCTCCAATCTCTGCTTCTCCGTCAGCTCCGCTGTCACTGCTTCCCCGGTTATCTCCACGATCACTGCTTCTCCGTTATCTCCACTATCACTGCTTCTCCGTTATCTCCACTATCACTGCTTCTCCGTTATCTCCACTATCACTGCTTCTCCATTATCTCCACTATCACTGCTTCTCCGTTATCTCCACTGTCACTGCTTTTCTGCTATCTCCACTATCACTCTGCTTTCTCCACTGCTGGCTGCTTCATCTCTGCTCTCTGCTCTCCGCTATCACTGTGCTCTCTCCACTGCTGGCTGCTTCACTTCAGCTCCGCTTTCCTCCCTCTGCTGCTGGCTGTCTTCACTTCAGCTCCGCTCCACGTCCTGCTTCGTCCAGTCCCCGAGTCCAACTCCCCTCTATCCTCGCGTCTCCCCAATTGATCCCCGTTCTCATTATTCCCCAATTAATTAGCCCGCGTCCCACCGACGCTCTGCGTCCTCGTGCACCTGTTCCTTGCCCAGACATTAAGACGCCACTTCAGCCCTGACAACAACACCAGCCAATCACAGCCGTCTCTGGCTCCCTAGCTTAATTGGCCTAATCATCCCAATCATCGCACCTGGCTGTCCCAATATGACCCGTACTGTCCTGCCCCCGCGTGATCTCACCATTTACCTCCATGCGCGTATTTACTCCACTACACTAGTGAGCTTCTTGGGGAATTCATTCCACTCCAGGATCTTCTTCACCTGTGGTCCGATGAAGACAACGACTTTGACCTTTGCCTCAGACAGCTTAAGGAAGAAGTCTTGAAGGTACTTGAAGGCTGCCGACTCCTTATCTACAGCTCTGACAAATTGTTTCATAAGGCCCAATTTTATGTGCAGTGGTGGCATCAGCACCTTCCAGGGGTCCACCAGTGGCTCCCACTTGCCGTTGTTTCTCCCCACACAGTACTCAGTCCGCTGTGGCCAGTTCCGTCTGTGGTAGTGCGCCTTGGTGTCCCTGCTGTCCCAAAGGCAAAGATAACAGGGAAACTTGGTAAAACTGCCTTGGAGACCCATCAGGAATGCCACCATTTTGAAGTCGCCGATGACCTCCCAGCCGTACTCATCATACTTCAAGGCGTCCAGCAAGGGCTTGACACTGTTGTAATCCTCTTTGAGGTGCACCGAGTGAGCCAGGGGAAGAGACGGGTACTTGTTACCATTATGGAGCAGCACAGCTTTGGGGCTCCTGGATGAGCTGTCAATGAAGAGACACCACTCATTCTGGTTACAGGTGATTCCGATTTCCTCGAACAGACTTGGTCACATTGTGGCAGAAGCAGAGCCCATCTAGACGGGTGAAGAAGCTGCAAAAAGGTTGGTGACGCTTCCTCTGATCTGCGACTTGCACACTTTCATCCAACAAGTTCCACTGCTTAAGACAATACGTCAAAAGCTCGGCATTGGACTTGGTTTGACCAAGATCTCTGATCAAGTCGTTGAGGTCTTATTGGTTGGGGTAGTATGGGTTTCTCTCCTCAGCTCCACCTCTGAAATTGTCATCTGGATCTACGTCTTCCTCGCTCTCTGACTTGCTGCTCTCTTCTAGATTTCTCTCTTCTAAAGACGGCTGCTCTCTCTCTGGAGGAGTGGGTACGGGGAGCTCATGGCAGTGTGGCACCAGGAAGATGGATGAAGGAAGGTCCGGATACGTGATAGCAGGTGCATTCTTGCCAGTCCAACGTTTGGAAGGGTCCACTATGCAGAAGTATCAGTTTCTTGAGTGGTCAGTGGGTTCCCGCCAAATTATTGGAATAGCGAACTTCATGGCTCTCTTTTCCCCTCTGTACCATCCAACAAAATACATTTATTTCACCTATGACTAATGTGTAAGAGATTCTCGCAACATTTCTCATATATTATATATTTTTTCAATAAGATTGAAAATTGTAAGACATGTTAAAATTAAAAACTTTTACAATATTAAACTTAATAACATAAAATTCTGAGCAACAATTGTCCATCTTACCTTCTAGAGTTTTTTTGCATTGCTCGCTGGTGAAATGAGGTGCCC